TTTTTCCTCCCCTACCCTCTCAGACCTCTTTGCTTCCCCAACATGTCCTTCACCAGCAAATTCGTAGCCACTCAAGACTAGGCATACTGAGAATCCTATCATGAATTATGGAAGGACTGGAAAGGGATCCGATTTCAGCTAGTAAAAACATAGTAAATCACGCAAGTGCTGACGACTTCAGGGTGGCAGAGCACTGGCCGTGGTGCTGAAAAATCCCTTCTACAAGAGGGTCATTTTCTCCTAATTCCTCAAGATCTTCCTGCTAGAGATTGGCACAAAAGATATACGTTTAGGACGAGAGAATACCAAAATAAATTGGAACTTACACAAAAGATATACGTTTAGGACGAGAGAATTTTGATCCCGGCAATGTATTTTGAATACCAAAATAGATTGGAACTCACACACACATACACACACACACACATCTAGTAGTGGTAGTCAGAACTTTTCATCAACTCTGCCCATACAATTGAGGCTAGGAGAGTGAGTTATTTTATTTTTGGTATTGTTAAGCAACTGGAAGTCAGATATCCTTACTGATCCAAACCAACACACCCAGAGATTTAGCAGTAGCTCTGGTTTACCATAAACTCTGGTAGAGCTTCAATGGAATACTCCAGTATCCAGCACCACTTCTCCCTCCTGCTGCTGTTCCCTGTATTGAAAACAAAGTGCTCCAAAGGATTCCACAACTCACAGAATTGGCTCTTTGAGGTATTCAATGAAAGCAAAAGCAGAAAGCTGCAGGAGAAAGACACCCGCCACTGGTTTCTAGCCGTAGTTGTGTTCTTTAGCTTCTTTTTCCTCCGTTGATACAGCGAGAAAGTATTCTAGCAAGTCTTTATAATGCACAATTTTTAAAATCTTTATTGGTCATCTCATAGGAGACCAGATGGTTATTCAGTGATTGGCTCTCAGATGGAAAAGCTCTTAAAAGAGAAAGGCAATGGACCGGATGAGAAGACGGCATTGTAATTTAGCATCAAGTTTCAGGAAAACCTCAGTGGTGTTGGTTGTTGAAGATGATAAGCTATTATCATTATAGTTAATTGACCTGGAATGATCTTTCGCATTCATATTCTGTTCTTCTTCCAAGAGAAGCACTGAAAGTCAATTTCATCGCAAGAATACCACATGCCCCACTTCAATCTAAAATTTATGATAAAGCCTTGTTCGATCTGCTGGGTGAGAAAAGTAGCACCTTTTGCGACAGAACCAAGGCTACAGAATTATGCCCCAACATTGTATATCCTCTTTAACTTGGCAGGGAAAAGATGAACACACCCATTTTGGGAGGACTTAGGGTGGCTGTTTGGGATAATGTATAGAAAGATAAAGTAAATGTTCCCTGGCATTTAAGAATGAACAAAATCAGCACTAGGCAAGTTCTCCCCTTCCAGAGGGTATTCCAGATGTGAAGAACCACTATGGAGAAGACTTCATTTCTGCTGGCAGCCTATCACCTCTGAGATGGCATGGGGGCAACCACATATTTGATCTGTGGAATTCACAGTCATTACTGTTGGGTCAGTCCTCACTCAGGACTGTTCTTATTATGAGGCAGAACAAGTCAGTTACCTCAGGCAGCAGATGTTGGGGGGTCTGCAGCAGCACTCCCCTGGCAGAACAAGTCAGTTACCTCAGGCAGCATATGTTGGGGGGGTCTGCAGCAGCACTCCCCTGATTGTTCATCTTGATCCTTCCATCTGTTTTATTCTCCTGAAGGGTACAGCCCTATTTGTCATATGGTGTTTTCTTGCCTTGAAAAATGCTACTGTATTCTACCACCATGACTGAAATAACATTCAGTTAAAAATGAAGTCAGCTTCTGCATCTGGAATTGGGCAGGGACTACCATCCTGTTCTGTGTCTCAAGCAACAAAGTGTGTTGGAGCACCTCCGGCTTTAGTCAGCTTCTGCATCTGGAATTGGGCAGGGACTACCATCCTGTTCTGTGTCTCAAGCGACAAAGTGTGTTGGAGCACCTCTGGCTTTGATAGCTTTGTTGTTGTTGTTGTTTAGTTGTTTAGTCGTGTCCGACTCTTTGTGACCCCATGGACCAGAGCACGCCAAGCCCTCCTATCTTCCACTGCCTCCCAGATTTGGGTCAAATTCATGTTGGTCGCTTCGATGACGCTGTCCAACCATCTCGTCTTCTGTTGTCCCCTTCTCTTCTTGCCTTCACACTTTCCCAACATCAGCGTCTTTGCCAGGGAGTCTTCTCTTCTCATGAGATGGCCAAAGTATTGGAGCCTCAGCTTCAGGATCTGTCCTTCCAATGAGCACTCAGGGTTGATTTCCTTCAGAACGGATAGGTTTGTTCTCCTTGCAGTCCAGGGGACTCTCAAGAGGCTCCTCCAGCACCGCAATTCAAAAGCATCAATTTTTCAGCGGTCAGCTTTCTTTATGGTCCAGCTCACACTTCCATACATGACTACTTTAGAAGTAAATATATATTGAATAAGGCTATTTATCTCCATTGTCATTATAGCTATAGGTTACTTCCAGCATCAGGGGCTGCATAGTAAAATGATAAGGGGGTGGATTGTGACATCAGGGAATTACTTCCAGCATCAGGGGCTGCATAGTAAAACGATAACTGCAGCAGGGGGTGGATTGTGACCTCAGGGATTAAAAAATTCTGAGTTTAAACACATGCTAAGATTCTCAGGCTGCTGAATTCTGCACTTGATGAATTTTAATCATTATTCAACAACACGTCAACGCTTAGAGCAATGTTACACGTTTGTGTAACTGGCTGAATTTTCAGAACAAAATCACAAGGTGTTTGCACTGGACATCCTTTGACAGAAGCATTGCAACTGCTAACAGACAAGTATCTATAAAGTTTGGCAAAGGGCACAGATAGGCAATTACGGTATTCCCTGTGTGCTTTCTGTGAGAGTGATGACCCATACATAATTCAACACTAGCTTTCCTGCTTATCCCCACTCCATCTCATTTATTCTGAACAATTAGAACCACGGTAAATCTCAAAAGGTTGTTCGCGCTGGGTTTGGAACATGAGATCGTTTTGCCTACTGTATTCTGTACTTGGAGAAAAAAGCCTGAAGGAAATTCGAATTCTGCAAGCAGATGAACAAATTTCTGCAGCCTACTAAATCTCTCACAGAAAGTGCTTTAGGAAGCAGAGGGCAGAATCTTCCCCTATTCCTCAACCTGTAATTGTTTTGCTGCCTCCCCCCATTAAAAAAAAACTGCTTTCTAGGAATTGTAATCGGACAGCTCCTATTCAATTGTTCAGTATTCAGATGATACAAATGATCTAGTCCTGCCCTCCCCTCCCAGTTCTCACTTTGCTCATACAAAGCAATAAGAGTGAAGGAGGGAAATTTGTAAATCTGTAAAGTCTCTCCATGTCAACCGCAACCTTGATTTCTTTGTGTTTTGACTACCATGGAGAGCTTCCATGGATTGACAAGTGTCTCCTATTTTGAACAGTTTCTTTGTGTGAACAAATGAATGACGGAGAGTGTTAGGTCTACTTGCTTTCCTTCACCCAGACATTGGACAAGTGAAAACATCATCTTAGAATGAGATTTCGCATTGTGATAATGTCACGAACACTTTCACAGCATCCTGGAGTGATTGCTAAGAGATAAACGGGAGGCATGGAAGTCTGAAGGTTTTTGCAAACGGCACTATGTTTTTGTCTTAAAGAAAGACTCAGATTTATAGGCCTACGCTAGTCTCTGAAGGCAAAAATAGTCTGAGCAACTCCTGGCTTTGTTTTATTAGTTCATAGGTAAGTCAGTCCACAGTGTGGTACCAGAGCAACAGATGAATGGTAAATGGGAACTAGGGAGACACAGATCCAAAATTTCTTCTAAACCATGAAGTTTTCATAAGTGATTGTATCAGAATGGCACTACCCTAATGTTGTGAGGACAGAATGTAGAAGGGGAAAAGGATGAACACCCTATTGATCCATTTGGAAAACATTAATGTAATACAGTGAATAAACATGGTACTTTGTAAAAAAAAATATTAAGAACCCATCTCTCCACTGAAAGTAATCTAAGGTCTGTGGCCATAGAGCTGGCTTGCTATTTAATTCACTCTTATGTATTGGATTGAAAACAACATTTCTCTTCTGTGAAAATGATGCCCATGAGTTGCTCAGCTCTCCCCCACCCCCATTTTCTCTCCTAGTTTCCCTTTCATCCTGCCCTTTGAGGCCTTCTCTCCTTTTTTCTAGCTGCCAGGCCTTGGCCTAGATCCAAGGCAGACTGCAACTTGGCTTTGATCCAAACATACAAGAGGTAGAAGGGTAGTAGGTACAGCCACTGTTGCTGTAAGGATCTAAAACCCAGGTGGCAGTCCCATTGGCTGGAATTCTGTTGTTTAACTACAGAGGTGTAACTCAATGTTACGCCTGTGGTAGATGCAATGATGCAAAGGGAGGAGTGCTATCCGCAAAGAACGTCCACTGGTGCAGTGTGCAATCAATCGCAAAAGGAGCCATGTGACCGACGGTGCAATCAGATGTGAGATTATATTTCTTTTAATAAGTGGTAAATGAATGCACACTATTGAGAAATTATGTCTTTCCAATACCACATGAACAACATTAACAGTATCCTTCCAATCGTATTTAGTTTTTAAGTCCTATTGAGTTCAGTGCAACTTACTCACAGGTAAAGAGCAGGTATAGGTTTGCAGCCTACCTCCTACAATCTAAATCCAGTCCCAAGCAGAGCAGATACTCTAAATCAAAGTAAGTTATATAAGTGGTAGCCCTATAAAATTCAATGAGTTTTCTCTAGTGGAAGCCAACAACTGGACTAAGGCTGATATATTCATGAATCTTCATTTCCTGCTTTATGTAATGATTTTTTGCTTTATTTTTTTGCACCAAATCATTCAGAGAGCCTCTTGCAATCACATGACCAGTCCGTTTCTGGCTAGACCTTCGCAGTGAATTTTTCAACGAAGGGTTGACTTCTGTTCATGGAAAGGAACTGTAAGGATGCAAAATGGATGACTTGATGTTGCTGGGTGCTAATAACTTCCGCCCCTTCACACGCGAATCTTTGGCTGCCATTGAGAAGCGCATTGCGGCCAAGAAAGAATGCAAAGACCCACCCCCTGTGGAGAAGCTCCGCCCTCAGCTGGACCTGCAACAATTCCAGAAGTTGCCTGCCCTTTACGGGAACCTTCCCCCTGAACTCATCGGCGAGCCCCTGGAGGATTTCGACCCCTACTATAATGATCAGAAGGTGATGCAATTGCGTTGTGGCTTGTAGAATTTGTTGATATCATGAGAAACAAACTAAGCTTCAGGAGTGGATTCTGCCTCAGCTGCTTAATGACAGCTAATTAATACTGCTAAATGTCACATTCATGTATAAAGGGCTAACTTTCCTTGAGCAAGGCTTTGTAGCTGAAGCAAAAATAAGTTACCTGCTGATGAAAATAAGGTTGAAATCATGCTACCAAGAGATCAGTTTCTAAAAGGGTAGCCTTATTAGTCTGCTACCACAAAAAACAATGTGTTGGTTCTAGACTTTCAAACTTGGAATAGACCCAATGAGATCAAGCTAGCTCTTGGTATGATGATGAAACATAGAACCATCCACTGTTTCTGGCAACATGTTAAAATACCTAATACTTCTCTTAAAAATCAAGTCAAAAGCCTGCCCACATCTTAACACACCTCTTTCTCCCAGGGCATTCTGTGGATGGCATGGTTAGTTTCAGCAAAGATATTGCCCGATAGCCAGAGTAAACCAAGTTGTCCTGCAGCGAACAGAACAGCAGGCTAAATGACCATGTAGTCATCCTCTTAGTAAATACAGACCAGACCAGCATGTATGCTCTGTGCAATGTGTAACATAAACGTTAACGTTCATAGAATATTGTTTTAGTTGATGGTACTTCCTTCACAGACCTTTATGGTGTTGAATAAAGGGAAAGCTATCTTCCGATTTACAGCCACTCGTGCATTGTGGATCCTTAGTCCCTTTCATCCAATCAGACGAACTGCAATTAAAATTTTGATACATTCATATCCTTTATACTGAGAAAAGGTGACTTTCCTTTTGTATTTGCTTCCAACTTTTGTTGCCGAGAAAGCCCAACATCTTTAGGGAGAGATGCAAGATAGACCCGTGGTAATGCGGCACACCTTTAGCGAGGAGTTATATGTTCTGTTTATCAGTTTTTAATAACCAGAGTTTGCATGAATGCCATTAGTTGTATGTGAATAATATTTGCAGTCATCAAGCAGTCACTATGACATCAAAATGAACCTGGGAATCCACAGCAAATATTTGTTTCATGTTTATAAAATTGCTTCCCTTAACTCCAGCGACTTACATTGTTCACCATGTTTATCATGGTTACTATCTTCACTAACTGTGTCTTTATGGCTCTTTCCGAATCATCGCAAGATTCGTCAACCAATTCCTCGTCCAAATATGTTGAGTAAGTACTTTTGACAAGATGATTTCTTCTCAAACTCTGTTATATTTGTCTAACTCCGAGATGAAGGTAAACTTAAACAAATGGCATATAATTTAGTCCTTCCGATAGCCAGATTAACTGGATAGTTGTATTGGGCTGAAGAGGCAGAGATTGGGGGGTTCAATTCTCCGCTGTGTATCCCAGAAAACCCATTGTGACATTTAGCCACGTGGCCCCTGCCTGCTTCACCACACAAGGAGCTCACGCTATGCCTTCTGATCACTTGAGACGTTTCTTCTTTTCGTTGCTGCCACCAGTGGATTTTCTTTTATCCACAATACCAAGAACTGTAGACAAACACTGGTCTGATTACTGCCGACAAAAGTTATTTATTTATTAAGGTGTATTAAAGTTGTTCAGGATCACAGATGTTCTTTTATTTAATGCTTACAATCCAATCATCCAAGCGTCAGATAATATTCGACATAAACAATCACCACCTAGTATATTTATTGATCTTGACCAGCTTTTCACTATTATTTATATCTTACCTCAATCTCCCCGACTCTCTCTCTCTCTGTGTGTGTGCAATTTCTCTCTACCGCTCTCATTAACCAACAGTCTCCACCATCAACTCCCTCTTCTCTCTCTTGCCAAGCCCCTTTATCTGGTGACTCCGCCCCTCCACTCCTCTCATAGGCTCATGTAAATGAGACCCTGAATGTGATTGACAGGAGTGACATGGGGCGACCGCCATACCCATCTTGGGCGGCCTTGGGCACACTGAACAGTCTCGAGGATTCCCCAAGAAGAAGGGGATCATAAACCATTTCTGAGTATTCTCTACCTAGTAAATGCTGAAAAGGATCACCACCTCTTATGGTTGCTTTGTATGTTCTTTTCCTCTTCATTTTTACAATATTATTATTACTATTATTCTGATTGTGCTTTTTGTAAGAGTTGTTTGAAGTCTGCCTAGGAACTGCCTTTTGTTGGGCAGATTTAAAATCAAATAAACAAGTATTTCCGTCCATAGAAACTAATGGGAAGCTGCTATTCTGCCTTGGACCACTAGAGGGGGATATTTTGTTTCTTTTTTTCTTAGGTCAAGAAAGGTTTAGGGAAGGCAGAGAAAATACAGTCCAGGCAGGACAGTACCAGGCAGTCTGAAGACTGTCTCCCAATCCACTCTCTAAACGCTGGGAGGAGTGAGGAGGCAGACAGGCACCCTTTTCACTGGCCAACAGTTAACTGAAAGTTCAAATTTTGCACTTTCCCTGCCTCCCACGTGTTTTTTTTAAGTTCATAACTCAAATCTAAGTATGTAAGTCAAGTCAATATTTTCCTATGAGAGTGGTTCTTAAGTCAAAATGTTCTTAACTTGGGCCGTTCTTAAGTCAAGACCCCACTGTACTCTAGAAATTGCCATGAGACCCACAGCTGATATTATTTCAATTAAAAGCCTTTTGGAACAGGAAGGTTTTGACCTGGTGCCGAAATGTCATCAGCGTCGGCGCCAGATGAATCTCAGTCGGGAGGGCATTCCATAGTCTGGGGGCAGCTGCCGAAAAGGCCCTTTGTCTGCAAGCCGTCCCTCTTACCTCCTTGAGGGACGGCTCTTTCAAAAGGGCCCCCTGGTTAGATCTTAACTGCTGGGGAGGTTCATATGGAAGGAGGCGGTCCTTCAGGTCCTTCTTTGGAGGATTATAGGTGAAAACAGACTAAAAATAAAAAGTGGGGGGGAATGGAGAAAACTCTTGTGGTGGCACATTAAAGACTAACTTTTATATTTTTTTAATGTGAGCTTTTGTGGACAAGTCCACTTCATCAGTCATAAGAGAAGGAGATATGACATGGCAAATATTTATACATGGCACCAGAGTGTAGATATCAAAATACAAAGATTATGGTTGGTTGGTAAGAAAGTCAGTGATATGATGTGATATGATAGTGTATTTGATGTGCAAGACTTTCATAGAAGCTAATGCTGCAGAAGATGTGAGAACCTATTTCATAAATTAACAATGGTAAAATAACAATGCTAGAGTGATATGAATGTTAATTGGATGGGCTATTTACAGTCATTGATGAACTCCCCTCCCTCACTACAAGTTTTTCTTTGTAATCAGCTGCAATAGTGTTTGAATTACCCCAGACAAGGGATGACCACAAGAGCAGAGTAAAGAATCTGTTTTACCTTTAGGGCAAGCTTTCTGTTTCTCTCTGTTGAATAGGAAGGATTTCTGCCAGTCTTAAAATCCTGGAGAACAGAATAAGCACAATAAACACTTTCTGAAATGAAATGAAATATTCATTTCTTTGGGAGGGGAACAGACATTTTAAAAGTTCTTTAGCCCCTCTTAATGCATAGTGAATTAGTACCTTAGTATAGGTTTTGTAAGAATTGCAAGAACAGGGGGTAAATTAGGTTAATATTTGTGTAATGTTTTTGTTGTTTGTGTTATCCTGCTTTCTGTGTCCACGTTATTCTCCAGGAACACGTTTACTGGCATTTATACTTTTGAATGTCTTATCAAAATACTGGCAAGAGGCTTCTGCTTGAATAAATTCACTTTCCTTCGAGACCCATGGAATTGGTTGGATTTCAGTGTCATCGTGATGGCGTAAGTGACTTTTTTGACTTTTTATGTGTTTGCAGCTGAGTAATAGTAGGCTCCCCTTGTTTCCTCTCAAACATTTGATGGTAGTGGTTCAAAAGGGCAGTGCAAATTATATACGAGTCTTGCTTCTCAAGCTCTCTAAAAAGAGATGCAGATCCTGAACCTTTAATAGTTGTGTGAGGAGGGAATTTCTGCCAGTGGAATGTATTATTATTTATTATTTTATTTATTGGATTTTTACCCCGCCCCTCTAGACAATGTCTACTCGGGGTGGCTTACAAATAAAACACGGCAATATATACATATGTAAAATAATAAAATTTTCAGTTACAGGATTTACAATTATAATTACAATTTGAGTAAATTGATTACCTACCAAAACATTGCCAAGATGGCCTACCATGAGGAGAAAGAAAAAGAAAAAAAAACTGGAAAAGAAAGAAAGAAAAAAACACCACAACCAGCTCCAGCTATTGAAATTCCCTCTTCTTTACAACATTAAAGCTTCATGATCCTTGTCTTCTTCTTATTTTTTTTAATGTTGGTGCCATCCCCCAGGCAAATGCTGATTTGAGGCATTCAGTTCTGTTCTAGATGGTGAAAATAATGGGAAACACAGAGTTCTGCTTTAAAATTCTTAACAAGAATGATCAAAAAGCAAGCTTTTGGGGGGGGGAGAAAAGAAAAACTCTGAGAAGCTGCTGTGAGGAAATAATACTTTCTTATCTGCAAACCTACTGCATGTTGAAAGCGTTTGCCTTATTTTTCACAGAGGTGGTTGTAGAAGAGGTAGGCGTGTTAGTCTGTGCAAGCATGATCAGTAAAAGCAAAAAAAAAATTAAATAAAAATAAAAATCAAAGAACAGTGTTGTTCCCTTCCATTTTACATGATTTATTTGGGTTGTATCAATCAGAGTGGCTCCCTGCACTCATCCTGCCCAGTTTTTAGAAGTACAGCCTTATTATCAGGACTCCTCCTCATGCTTAGCTGGAGGTGTACTGGCTGCTATTGGCACCCTTCCTGAGCCTTTAAAAGCAAGCGGCGTTAGCAGGCAGAAAACGCTGGAACTTCCCTCAGCATTTATTTTCTCAAACACAAAAGAAGAAAGGGCCTGTGCGTTTTTGCTCAGTGTGGAGAAGAGAGAAATTTAGCGGGCACTTCTTGTGTTCCATAGGGATAGGATGGGGAAATTTTGTGTTCCATAGGGATAGGATGGGGAAATTTTGCCTTTTTTGTGTCCTGTCCTTTTATCCTACCATGCTGGGGCCAAATCTTTATATTGGAATCGTGGTGCTGAAATTTTGCTGAGGGAAAAACCAAAGCCGTCCTTTAAAGGGAAGGTCACCATCCACGGCCCTTGGCCTGAGGTAAAATTGAAGTTCACACCTCAAGAGGGCCCACACCTAAAACCCAAAATGGACAACTGTCTAAGAATTGTCCTGAGTGATTGGAAAGAAAGCCGAAGAGATGGAAATGTCAGAGATAGCTGTGAAAGCTATGACATGCCATTACAAGCCTCCATTTGGCCACCATTTTATCCCTTAGTAAATAAAACCGAAGTCATGAATCTAAGACTCAGATGTGGCATTGCCTAGTTTGTCTTTGAGAAATTGTGAGGTAGAAAGGTCTCTCTCTCTCACACACACACAAATACATGCAAAAGTACAACAGGCTACATCTTCTCAAAATCCTCACAGTGAGGATAAAAGTCCCTCTGTAGCTTCTAGGCTTCTGTAATAATTATTTAACTGTCAAGGCTCGACTACACCAAGAGAGATACTTTCCCCCATTGTTTAAATTATGCATGCTCTACAATAAATAAATAACTTTTGACATCTAAATAGCATTTCCTCCCTCATCTGAAGTGAATGCACAAAATGGAGGACAGGGTTCCACTACCTTTATTAATGTAGTAGTATTTTTGTTGTTAGCCGCCTAGAGTGGTCCTGACCTGACCAGATAGGCAGGATATTAAATAAATAGATAAATAGATAAATAGATAAATAGATAAATAGATAGATAAATAAATAAATAAATAAATAAATAAATAAATAAATAAATAAATAAATAAATGTGCTGAAAAGGAAAATGTCAGCAGGTGTAGCGTGCATAGCTACCTCTTCAGGTGGTCCTATTACACCTGCCAAAAATTCTTCTTCTACCCCATACCTAAAGTACAGGAGCCCTGTTCTCCATTTTATGCGGCCCAGTGCCACCTATGGAGTGCTGTCAACCCACAGGCCATGCTTTACGTGAAAGAAATAACGAGCCATGGCATTCCATGCCAGTTAAATTAATGTACTGTTCTCCTCCTTCATCCAGGTCTGTTGGCGTTTCTAGCCAGTGGGCGAACATTGAGTGCCCAATGCAGCATTTACCTCCCCACCCAACCTCAAATGTGTGTAATCATAATATGGGATGTTTGTAATAATGCAATGTGGGGTATCCTTCTTGCTTCTCACACTTGGTTTTTACAGATATGTGGGAGCATCTATTGACCTGGGCAACGTTTCGGTTCTTCGGATGTTCCGCGTATTGAGAGCTTTAAAAACCATTTCCATCATCCCAGGTATGAACGTCTTTGAATAATTTCTATCAGCTACACAGTGGCGTTGGCTAATACATCGTTGATATACTGGATGCACGTGTTTCTCTTGATTAGAGACAGTCTGGTGGTACTTGTCTCCATTTGCCTTTTTTTGGGATATACATGGCATGAAACAGTGGGCTAAAAGATGTTATTTTCCAAATTCATTCCCCTCTCCCATCATCCGAAGTATATGCTGAGAGGGGAATATGGGCATCTTTCTTTCAGCACACATGCATTTTTCTTATAACCACATGACAAGCACCAATTTCTTCTCCCACATAACTATCAAAGGTATAAGAGCCCTGGGCCTTTTATGCAGCCGCTTGAATGCTTAAAGGTCCCGTAATCTCTTGCTGTCCATGTATCTTTGTTTACTTATCAAACATAATGAATGTACCTCACTAGGTGAATATCAATGTATAAGCGAGCTTGCAGAGAACGGTACCTTCCCCCTCTTCCTCTATCCAAGGGTGTCTGCAGGAGTCTTTTCATGGAAGGACCAAAGATGCATAATATTATGTTACCACAATTTGCTAGCATGGTGCATGCCACTACAACCCATTGCATCTCTCTGTGTATGCTAAAATATTCAGAGAGCAAGCACACACACCGCCAGCTGCCCCCATGAAAACCCAAGTCCCTTTAGATATTTTCTTCTTCTTTATCTTCATCAAAGGAGTCGGAGAAAATACAAGTGATGCATCTTAAAAATTAAGATTAAAAAGTAGCGAACCTAACATAATGTCTATCTATCTATCTATTTATTTATTTTCCACCTGTGTTTTTATGTTTATTCCCTTGCATTACTTATTCAGCATTTTGTCGCCAAAGAGTATGCTTTAGTACACTCACTGAGTTGTTTTGGAGAGCCCCCCTCACACACACACCAGTTCCCTCTTAAAGGTTTGTCATAATTCTGCAAACACTGGGTTGCCTCAAATGTCATTGCCCTGCAAAACAGCTCCTCCAACAAGGGTGAGGCAGTGCCCCAATCCTAACATTCATTCATTCATTCATTCATTCATTCATTCATTCATTCATTCATTCATTCATTCATTCATTCATTCATTCATTCATTCATTCATTCATTTATAATCCGCCTATCTAGTTGAACGACCACTACCAAGGCTGTCAGTAATTCTTCTCGAGTTACAGTGCACCCTCGACTTACGGACGGCTCCACGCACAGACTTTTCGAGTTACAGACGTCTCTGGCTGCAAAATTTAGGTTCGACTTGCAGCCGGAGAATCGACCTACAGACCGGGAAAAAAAACCAAAATGGAACAAAAACGGCCGGTTACGGATTAATCGGTTTTCAATGCATTGTAGGTCAATGGAGCCTCGGCCTACAGACTTTTTGACCTGCAGCCACTGTTCCAATACGGATTAATTCCGTAAGTCGAGGGTCCACTCTATTCTGACCTGGGCTCCATCCATCTCATTCTTCTGCCCATCTCTGTTCCCTTGCAGGTCTAAAGATAATTGTCGGCGCTCTTATCCAATCAGTTAAGAAACTTGCAGACGTTATGATCCTGACCGTTTTCTGCCTGAGTGTCTTTGCTCTCGTTGGCCTTCAACTCTTTAAAGGACATCTGAGGCACAAATGTGTCAGGAACTACACAGAATATTTTATCAGCGAGATGAAACGATTAAAGTATCCCAATGAAACATCTTTTCTGTATGAAGTCAACCTGACTTCATATATGGACTTCATCAGGGATAAAGGTATGTGCTCTCCTCAGCTCCTAAAAAAAATAATGGCTCTTTTGCACCTTTTGATTCCATTGGTTGAAGAAGGCCATAGGAAATAAGGCATACATTTATGCAACAGCTCATTGTTACAGCTATAGGATGCGTGACTGCTAAGTTTCCTTTCAAACATTGTTATTTGAATCTTTTTTCGGTCTCATAAGCATACTTCTAGGAATGATGTGATAGTAACAGAAGAAAAATATTAACTCATACCAATATAATTCTCAGGAGATGTTACTGGGAAGAACCACATGTAAATGTATATATACACTGTCAGTCCAATTCTGTAGAATGTTGGTAATTGCTATAACAATAAGTGCCAGGAATCATATTTTTCTTTCTTTCTTTCTTTCTTTCTTTCTTTCTTTCTTTCTTTCTTTCTTTCTTTCTTTCTTTCTTTCTTTCTTTCTTTTTCTTTCCTTCCTTCCTTCCTTCCTTCCTTCCTTCCTTCCTTCCTTCCTTCCTTCCTTCCTTCTTTCTTTCTTTCTTTCTTTCTTTCTTTCTTTCTTTCCTTCCTTCTTTCTTT